AAAAAGGATCATTTTAGCTCAGCTTCCATATCAGGAAAGGGGAAAAACAGCAGGAGGACGCCTGTCAAAGCTTCCATAGAATAAAAGAAATGATCAAACAATTTGTTATATGCAATTTTAATACTTTAATAATCATCCCGGGAAAGTCTTCAGCAACAAAAATCAGCACTTTATCTGTTTAACTTCATTAAAAACAAAAACCTAACACTGATCCATCATTCAGTCTTGAATTTATAAAAAACACTTTCCCTTATTTCACACGTTTTGAAGCAAATAAACAGAAATTAACCCTGTAATGCCAAATGTATCATATTTGATTCATACGGTTTCTGAAATGTTTTGCGTCTGACACCTTTTGCATAATTTAATGGTAAAAACTTTGCTCAAAATCCTATTGTACACAATCAGATACACCTGATAACAGGGGGCAGAAGACTACACAAAAAATAATCTGGACTTATTGCATATTAATAAATGATTACAGTAATATCAAAAATGTATTTCTGTTTTTTCTTTTTACATATTTTGTTAAAAGGCCAAATAAGGAATTCAAACCAAAAAAAAGTAATTTTCTGTTTTGTTTTATTTTTGGATCAGGCTTTAAAGGGTTAAACGTTAAATTGAATTTGAAGATCAAAGCTGAATCCATTTGAATTCTTTAGAACACACTTAATAACATATTATATATAACAATATTACATCCTTTAGTCATATTCTGGGAAATGAGGCAATACTGATTCACACAAAGCTCGATTGGGAAAAAAGAAAAAAGCTGGTTTGGTAAAACATGCAGGGGGAAAATGGCCTCTAGTCCAGTGTTTTTCAACCTGAGTGATGGTCAGGTGTGCCGTAGAAAATCATCCTATTTCACCTAATTGGTCTAAAAAGATTTTTGGGATAATTTTCTGCAAATAATATTCCATTTTTGAGAGTCTGTGCTGTTCTAGTGACTGGTGGAGTAATCATGTAATAATTCCTTATGACTAGATTTTGTATATAATTTTGTATATTGAAGTGGACATGTTAAGAGCAATTTGAGAGGAGAAATATTAAATATGATAAAAATAAATTTTTGTGTTTATTTGATTCCTATTCAAGACACTTAAGATAAGATAAGAATAAAATAAGAATAACTATAGTGTTACTATAGGCGGCTACAGATTTGTTTAACATTTTTGGTTGGTGGCCTCGGGATATTTTCAATGAAAAACTGTACCTTGGTTTAAAAAAAGGTTGAAAAACACTGGATTAGAGGGGAGAGACTCAGATGGAAGAAGAAGTTAGTCTCGTCGATAATAGATCTAAGAGCACATTTCCTAATTTAACCAATTTAACACGAGTTATGAACGAGACTGGAGATGTGTTTGAAGCCACTGCCCGATTTCTAAAATCCCTTTGGCTGATTTTATGAATTAAGTCTTTAAAATCCTCCTACTTTCACTGTCCAGATCCATAATGAGTCTTCTCAGAAATATACACAGAAAAACTGGAAAGTGCCTTCAACTTTCCCTGAATTTGAAAGTTCGAACGGACTTCCAGTGACGCAAATTTTTTTGACTTTGTCTGGATTTCGGTTGCATAACACAGACATTATTTCAATTTAAAAAAAATGTACCTAGGCTCAAAAAAAAGGTTGAAAACCAGTGCTCTAGAGCAGTGATTCTCAAACGGGGGTACGCGTACCCCTGGGGGTACGTGGAGGTACTGCAGGGGGTACGTGAAGCTTTTCAAAATATATTAAAAAAATCAGTAGGCTCCTCATAATAAGTCTTGGGAGAAATGATTCTGTAAAAAGTTCGATAGAATATAAATGTGTGTTCATGCACTGCATTTTATATTCAGTATTTAGTTTCAATATCCTTTAAAATAAAACGGACCCCCCACCAAGTTAGTTTGACCCACGGACCTGTCAACGACCTGTCGTTACCATGGTTACGTTTGGTTTTTAATAAATAAGACAGTGATTTTACAGCACTGTACCTCTTTTTTCTTCCAAAAATGTTTTGCCTGTGTCAGGGGGGTACTTGACTAAAAATATATTTTTAACCTCCTGAGACCCTGTGTCCTCATAAGAGGACGTTGCATTTTTGTCTCTCTTTACCATGATACTTCTTTTTTTCTTTCAGCTTTGACCTCTTGGCCTCATAGCAGATGCTATCAGACACTGTTTGAAATCTAAAGTAAAATGGTTTTATACATTTCCATCCAATCATGTTCTTATTGTGTAATAGAAAAACTGTAAATGAGTCAATGGGACTGTCAGAACAAAATTGTAAAAACATTTAATTAAATATGTATCTCATATATCTTTAAAAAAAAAGCTAAAATGCATGCCAAATAAAAGCTCGGGTCTCAGGAGGTTAAGGGGGTACATCACTGAAAAAAAGTTGAAAAACACTGCTCTAGAGGTCTTTGCAGCCGGTCTGATCTGTGGCCTGGAGCCTGGAGGTGTCCAGCCCCTCCGTGTCCAGCAGCCCGCGGGCGTGATGCAGGGTCCTGGGGTCCAGGAAGCGAGAGCGGGACAGGATGAAGGCGTACTCGTACCGGAACAGGTGGAGCACGTCCGTGCAGGAGTACACGATGGAAACACTGCTGTAGTCCGTGCTCAGGACCCAGTACGGGCTGTAGGGGGTGACTGGGGGGGGTAATAACGGAAATGCACTTTAAAAATACATGTATATATGAGTAAATGTGTTCATTTGAGCGATATGTTCTTCTCTTTTTGCCACAATTCATCACTGAATATTTAATAATACATTTCATCATTTATTCTATCTATCTATCAATCTATCTATCTATCTATCTATCTATCTATCTATCTATCTATCTATC